CAAAGAGAGAGCAGGGAAATGAGGAAATGGTGTGGCAAGGGCCTAGCGTGAGCGAGCTTAAGACAGGGAGAGCAACAAAGGCAAAGCAGGGCTGGGGATGACTCAGTGGATAGAGGACTCCACGCAAGGATGGGGATCACAGCTGGGATCCCGTGGGCCCACATGAACAGAGCACTGGGTGGGCACGGTGGTCCGTCTGTAATTCCAGCCTCTCCAGAGCGAGCTAGCAAGTGAGACTGGTCACACAGGCGAGCTCCCGGCTTAAGACACCCGGCTTCACGCAATACAGCTGAAGAGTGATGAGGGCAGCGCCTGACGTCATCAGGCTTCCACATGTATGCATTCACACGTGCATGTGCACAGCACACGCAACACACACACAGGAAAGTATGGGAGAGGAAAAAAGGAGTGTGAGATGGGGGTCAGGACAGCAGGGGTCCAGCATCCCTGTGAGTTGGACTGGGCCGTTTAGCCAGGAGAGGGACACATCCACTCTGTGCCACACATGCCTCTGCCTTATCTCTGTAATGGGAATGACTGAGATTAAATGTTAAGCTACCAGCACAGACTATCAATTTGTAGCAAAGATCGAAGATATTTGCAAAATCAGTCCTTATGGGCCGTTTAAGAGCCTAGGCGAGTGGAATTTCTTCCGTGGACTTATTTAAAAGCACGTACAGGGGCTAGTGAGATGGCTCAGCAAATAAAGACACCGTACCAGCCGGACAACCTGAGCTCCAGCCCTGGAAGCCACATAGGAAAGCTAGGGGCAGTGGCGGGTATCTATAATCCCAGCACGCCAACGGAGAGATGGTGGGCGGAGATGGAAGAACGGGTTTAGAGAAGGGTTCTCAACCTCCTAACGCTGCGACCCTTTAACACAATTCCTCATGCTGTGGTGGCCCCCAACCATAAGATTACTTTCGCTGCTGCTTCATAACTGGGATTTCGCTACTGTTGTGAACTGTAATGTAAATATCTGTGTTTTCTGATGGTCCTTGGGGTTCGAGACCCACAGATTGAGAGCCACTGGCTGTAGAAGCTTGTGAGCCGGCTAGCCTGGAGAACGCAGCGCGACAGAGGCAATAGAGACCCTGCCTCAATACGGTGGAAGGAGACCCGACCCCTCAAACTTGTTCTCGGGCTTTTACACGTCGTCACTCACCCCTCCCATCCCCTCTCGCTCCCCCTGTAACTCTTTTAAAGTACTTGTGGACTGGGGAAATGGCTACGTTGGTGGAGAGGCTGTTTTGCCCATCATGGGTACATGAGTCTGGGTCCCCAGTGTCTGGTGGTTCATGCTTGTATTCCCCGTGCTGGGGAGGCAGAAGCGGGGAAGCCCCGGATCTAGCCAAACTGGTGAGCTCTAGGTTCAGTAAGAAAACAGATTTAGGAGGCTGCCTGATGTCAACCTCTGACCTGCCCACAGCACCCGTGCATACATAAGTACACACACACACGCGCGCATGTGCAGAAAACAGATAACAAACCTCCCTCAAACAGAGAGCACTCGTCAGGTGCCGAGGAGGAGGAGGAGGGCGTTGCAGGTGCATCTGAGCTCCCTTGTTAGCTGTGTGACTTCATCTACCTAAACAGCGACGCCTCTCAAAGAGCGGCGGCTCCCCACAGCACTGTGCTTGCAGCAAAAGCATTTATGCTCACGTAAGAGAAAAAGAAATTAAAAAAACCTACCAGCAACTTAAAACGCCGGCAGCCTTGGGCCCTGTGCAGCGTCTCGCTGAGCACAGGGAGAATTTAGCTTGTACCCAGACGGCCGTGCTCACACAGGCTGCCTGGCTTTATGAGAAAACATGTAGGCAGACCCGTTTTGGCTTTGGTGATGTGAATTCTAAACTTAGGCCAGTAAGTGGCCCTTTCAAGTTTTACCTCCAGTGCGGAGAACATCTCTGTATACAAACACCGATGACAACAAAGGCAGCGAGGAAAACCCATCTCCCTGCGTGAGGCTTAGCGCCAGGCCCCGGCCTTAGGGCCCTTCTAGGAAATTACACATGAAATGAGGGTAGAAAGCGCCGTAATCATAGACGTGAAGTGTCCAGGAGGACATTCACCTCGGCTGACCGTGGGGCGTGGTTCTTCAGTGTCCCGAGGAGAACAGGCAAAGGGTCACATGACTAGAGTCTAGGCGAGGTTGTGCCAGTCCGGGAGACTACAGTGGAGTGGCGTCTACACAAGGAGAGGGCAATTTGTGGTCACTGTCTCCTGTTCCCTGATCCTCTGGCTTCTTTGCAGTTTCCAGAAATGTTGAAATGTCCCCAGACCAGCCACATGCCTCATAATCACCGACCTTTTATTTTCTGTGGACTGGATCTGCTTTAGAGTTAGGATGTGAGGAAGCTTTGGGACCACCCACCCTGGCTTCAGGACCTACACTTTTGGGTCTGCACTGACTCAGGCATGAGCGCTCACCACCCACCATCCTGCGCATAGCTACCACACGGGCTGTGATCCACCCTCCCCTCTCTCTAACGCATCTGGGCTACAAGGAATGGTTCTCGGTGGAAAGACCTCGGAACGCCTGGTGATTAACAGGTTCTGGGAGAGAAGGACCCACTGTCCAGTTGTGAACCCACCAGGTCCCAACAGATAGCTCCAACCCCATGGCCATACAGATGACACTGGCTTGTTTCAGTGGGTCACAAAACCAAATGAATAGACATAAACACCCGAGATTTGTGGGGAGTACTGGGGGTGGGTGGGGGTGGCAGGAAGATGGGGATGAAAAGGTCCAAGAACAATTTTAATTAAAAATAAGGAGTTCCAGATAACGAGCAGCGAGCTAACTTTACTACTGGATGTAAGTATCTCTAATAGTAAGGCTCCTCCCCAGTAAAGACATCTTAGCAGCAACACAAAGGTCTGCCTTTAGTTCCCACAATGTGAGGCTCGCCTCTCCCTGGCACAGGGAGATCACGGAAGACAGCACAGTCCAGAAGAAAACAGACATATCACTGACAAGGAACCTTTACACACCCTGACTGTAGAGAGGTCCTAGGCTCATCTGCACATTTCTTTGTAAAGTCCAAATTTAGGAAGGAGCTATGAGGTGACCTTAACAAAAGTCCCTGTGATGGGGGAATGTCCTTCCTGTATGCTGTGAATATATGTTTATCTTATTGGTTGAGCTTTTTCGGCCAATGGGCAGGCAGGATGTAGCCAGGCAGGAAGTTTAGGCGGGGTTACCAGACTAGGAGAATGCTGGAAAGAGGAATGCAGGGAGTGAGTTGCCATGTAGCTACTGGGAAGATAGGACACCTGGGCATTCTCCGGTGAGCCAAGACAATATAAAGATACACAGATTAATAGAAATGGGTTAATAATTGAGAGAGCTAGCCAGTAAGAAGCCTGAGCCATTGGCCAAAGAGTTTATGATTAATATAAGCCTCTGTGTGTTTATTTGGGACTGAAGGGCGGTGGGACGGGGCTGGACAGAAACTTCATCTACACCCTGTGCCTTCACAGGGAACATGCCCAGCGTTCACCCTCTCTCCGGTGATGGCTCACGACCCTGGCCTGTCTTCCTCACGTATCCTGATGGGTGGGCTGAGAGATGGCTGAGTGAGAATGGTGCCTAAGGACAAGCCTGACCAGAGTTTAATCCCCAGAACTACAAGATGGAAGGAGAACAGACTCCTACCAGTTGCCCTTTGACCTCCACACCCATGCTATGGTACCTTCCACCCCATACAAAGACAGCTAGTTAGCCAGAACACCCCCTCCCCCAAATCTTGAGGGCTCCCTGTAGTAACTGCCCACCCATGACCCCAACCCTGCTCAGCTACAAACGCCACTTGTCCATGGTATGTGCATTCAAACTCCACCGAGGGTCTAGACCGAGAGCTATTTCCCCTATTGCAATAGTCCAGAGAACAATCTCTTTGCCATTTTATTTTTGTTTTTACGAGACAGGGTTTCTCTGTATTGTTTTGGAGACTATCAGTCCAGCCCGGCCTCGAACTCACAGAGATCCGCCTGCCTCTGCCTCCCGAGTGCTGGGATTAAAGGCGTGCGCCACCACCGCCTGGCATTTTAACTACTACCCAGATCCAATTTCCTCCAACAATATACCCATTTGACTGGTGATGTCGCAAGGCACCAACAACTGCCACACCAAATGAATCTTTTTCTTGTCAAACTTAAGGAATCTGGGGGCTTGGGGGATGGCATGGCTCAGTGGGCAGGAGCACTTGCAGTGCAAGCATGAGCGTATGAGTTTGCATCACCAGCTCCCATTTCAAAGGCGACTGTAGCCCCAGCACTAGGAAGGATGGAGACAGGAGGCTTGCTGAGGCTTGCCGGCTGCTAGCTCAGCTCCAGACTCAGACCCTGTCTTAGGTGAATAGGGCAGATGGTGTCAGAGCAGGAAACCCAACATTCTCAAGGGAGGGGTATGAACCTGCATACCCCCCCACCACACACACAGGAGTGATCCATGACGGATTTACAACAATAAGCCCCGTGTACAGCATCCTTGTGGATGCCCACGCTGCTATGGCTACAGAATGAAACATCAAACGTGCTAAGGATGTGTTACGTTTGTGTCCATGCTGCTACATTGTGTCCGCGCTGCCACATAAGCTACAGAATGAAACATCAAACGTGCCTTAAGGTAAGGCTGTTGCTTCACACACAGGAATGTTAGAGCAGAGCACAGTAATTACAGTCCTAAAGAGACCATATTGCTGAATTCACAACTACATCATGTTGGAGAAAGCTAAATGGCCTCTTAAAAGGAGGGTGAGGGAGAGCCCTTTCCGGAGGCCAACACGGAGATGAAAGCACTGTTTCTTCCCTCCTAGAATAGGCTCCTATCTCTGGACCGCCTCCCAGGCCGAGGTCTGGAATGGGTGTCTAACAGGAAATTCTGGGCAGTGTATGCATACATTACATTCCTTTATCCACCCTGAAAGAGCAGTCAACAAACATGACTTCCCCTCTGCTGGGATAAAAGGGGAGTGTTCAGAGTGGAGACTGCACTCTGCAGACCACACAGTTCAAAAGAGAAGCCAAACATCTAGAAAAGAGGATTTCGCCAAGAGAAGATTCAATCAGCGTCTATTTTATTTGCACGAGATAAACCTCCCCATGGAATTCCACAGAAGAGTCTGAAAGAGCCATCTCTGGGAACACAAGGCTGGCAGTGGCCCCTCAGCAGTGAGCTGACCTCTTGCTTCCTTCTGGAATGACAGCTGTGTTTCCCTGTCCCCCATCTTAGATTTGCTGAGTGTGCAAAGCCCTTTATATCATCATCCGTGCTCTTGACAGTGAGTAGCACAATCCTAACCAGCCCCCCCCTCCCCGTGAGAACACGGGCATCCAGATTCCCAGCCCTCTCCCTGCATGTTGGGTCTCATTTCCAGAGACATCCCCTGTAGCTGAGCCCTCAGCCCTCGCCCTTCACGTCAGAAGTCAGCACACGGCAAACACAAAAGGCGCCAGGTCTTGCTAGGAAGCCGCACAGCGGGTAGAACTCAGTGCAGCCAGGGCACCGCCTCTCAGTGATGATGCCTAGGAGCCCCCACTCCGCTGGGAACACCCTTCTTTGCCTCCGAGCTTTCCTTGGCCCTGGTGGCCAGGGACACTCACTGAGCTCCTAAGCGGCAGGGCTGGTTAAGCAAGCGAGGTGTGTGTGAGGGTTAGGTTCTGAGCTCTGAGCTATCGCTGCACACTGTGTTTTTGTTTTTAAATCACGCAGAGCCATGACAAATGACAGCATAAGGGGTTTAAGCAGCTGGTGCGCTGAAGAGGAAACAGGTTAAAATTTAACAGGCACCAGATAAACGGTGTTTAAAAAACAAGCCCTCCCTTTGCGTTTATTAACTGGACAAAAATGAGCCATCCAACAAACAGACGTGAGCTCGGAGGCCCAGACCCATCCACTCCCCACACGCTGCCCACTCTGTAACCGGCAGCAACGTGTCTGGAAAGCAGAAGAGGAACGTGTCACCCGCCGGTAGGTGTCTGCTAATTAGTTCAACTGTCAACTTGACACAAGTTGGGTGGGAAGAGTCTCACTGAAGGACTGTCTAGGTCAGCGTGGCCTGTGGCCATGTCTAGGAGAGGAGCAGGGTCTTGGCCGCCTTAATAGATGTGGGAAGGAAGACCCAGCCCGAGCCTGGCTGACGTCGTCCCCTGGACTGTGTGAGAGTACGGCGAGCAACAAGCAAGCGTGCATCCGTTCTCTGTCTCTGCTCCGACTGGATGGGACCAGCTGTGCTAACTTCCTGTGCGGTGTCCTCTCTGCTGTGAGGGGCTGGAACCTGGCACCGGGAGCTAAAGCAAGCCCTTTCTTCGATAAGCTGCTTAATGTCAGGGTGTTTTGCCACTGCAACAGACATGAGGCTAGAGCAGCGAAAATGCAAGCCGCGCAGAAGTCCAGCAGTGTAGCCGGTGCTGCAGCTGTTGGGCACAGCATCAGACGGCAGTTCCAGAGAGCCCTGTGCGTCCAGGAGGAGCGAACCTTCTCCATGAGGTGCGTGTGCTTAGCGCTGACGACCGTCTCAGACCCGCTCCAGCCCTGCCTGTATCAGCAGCATGGGTTGGGTACACTGCAAGTGTGGGCATCGGGACCTTATCAATCTCGTTCACATCCCTGCGCGTAGACCTGTGCTGGTGTACCCCGGGCCTGTCCGAGGAGATGCTCAATTAGTTACTCTCATTTCTGTGCTAACACACCACAATCAAGGCAACCCAAGGAAGGAAGAGTTTTTTTGGGCTTCGGTTCCAGACGGATAAGAGTCCATGATGGTAAAGACAGCAGCTGGAACAGGAAGCCAACAGTTCACGACCTTCCAACCATGAACAAGAAGCAGAGAGACGTCAAGCGTCATGAGGATTTTAGCTGTGAGCCCCACCTAGTTCCCTGGCAATGATAGTCTTCCAGCAAGTCTTCACCTTTAACCCTCGAGAAACGGCATCAGCAATAATGGGGGAACCAAGTGTTCAAACGCCCGAGACTATGGGGGACGCTCACAGATGTTAATGAGTGGGCAGATGAACCAAAGCACAGAACCATGGACGAGCCCCTGCGGTCTGCCAGGAAGAGCTGGGTCAAACGGAACCACCTTGTTAAAATCCTTCTGGCCCATGGCAAGTTGCTCCCCTAAGCACCTGTCAGTCGCGCCACCCACATTCGGTCACTTCCCCATCCTGGGCACACAACTCCCAGTTCCCTGCTACCTTTTTATGACGTGTGTGCGCGTGCGTGTTTGTGTGTGTGCGCGCGTGCGCAGGTGCGTGCCTGTATGGAGGCTAAAGGTTGGCACTAAGTGTCCTTTCTTGGTCTCTCCACAGTCACTGAGGCAGATTCTCTCACCGAAACCGGAACTCACCTTGCATCTAGTCTGGAGGACCAGCATGCTCTGGGGATTCCGGCTTCACCTCTTGAGCACTAGGAACCATCCTGCCCACCGGCTCTGCCCATGTGGCTTTGCATGGGTTCTGAGGGTCCAGAGTGATCCTCATGATTGCACGACAAGCACTTATTCCATTGAGCTACCCCCTCCCCACTATTTTTAGCAAAGATGGTAATTCCTGCTTCCTATAAGATAATATGAATTTATGTAAGGTGCACCAATATGTTGAATTCTCTCTGGCTGTAGGACTGGAGTGAATGTTACCTTTCCCTTGATGCTCTGCTGTCATTTCTAAATGACCACAATCTATATCATACTTACTATGGGAGAATGTAATAAATATTACTTAAAATGTTAGTTTCTAGTTCATAAAACTGATCCTTTTACAACCTCATTTTGATGGACCACCTGTTGTATCCTAGGGAAGTTAGAAGATGATACAGGTAAGAAAGACAAGTTTATTCAAACCCCACTGAAGTGTGCTCACAGCCTTGTCTGTATCGCCTGCCAGTGATGGAGTGTGTGCAGATGCCTCAAACGAGAAAGGCATGCCGGGCATTGGTGGTGCACGCCTTTAATCCCAGCACTCGGGAGGCAGAGGCAGGCGGATCTCTGTGAGTTCGAGGCCAGCCTGGTCTACAGAGCGAGTTCCAGGACAGCCTCCAAAAGAATACAAAGAAACTCTGTCTCGAAAAAAAAATCAATTTTGCTGTATTATGCCTAAAAACTATGCCAAGGTTAAGTGGCATCGTCTACCAGCCTCAAATAGATTAATATTACTGAATGATGTTTTCTGTAATCTCCATGGTAACCACAGAGACAATACTTACGGAAGAGAAACTACAGAAAGAGAAATAGAATCATGTCACCACACAAAAAGACCAAGGAGGCACAGAGACAGAAAGAAAAGAGGAAAAAATGGATTTGTGCAAGATAGAAAACAGGAAAATGGTAACCATTCTCTTTCTGTCAATAATTACTTTAAGCTTGAATAGATTAAAATCCAATCACAATACATGAATTGGCTGAACTCAGAAAGAAACATCAAGATCCACCTGGGTGGGGGTGGGACACACCTTTAATCCCGGCACTCAGGAGGCAGGCGGATCTGTGAGTTCGAAGCCAGCCTGATCTACAGAGCTAGTTCCAGGACAGCCAGGGCTACACAGAGAAAACATCTTGAAAACAAAACGAAACAAAACAAAAAAAAAAGGGGGGGGGAAAGAAACACCAAGATCCAATCGCGTAAGACTCACTCAGAGTCCCTGCAAGGGTATACATGGGCTAAGAGCAAAAGAACGAGAGACATCCCACACAAACAGCATCAAACCAGAGTGGAGCCGACAACACAGACTTAAGTAAAGGGCTGTCACAGACGACAGATGGCATCATATGATAAAAAGGGCTCAGGAGATGGCTTAGTGGGTAAGAATGCTCATTGTGCAAGCATATGACCTGAGTTTGAATTCTCAGCACCTATGTAAAAAACTGGCATAGCTGTGCATACCTAGAACTCCAGCACTTAGGGGTGAGAGATTGATGGAATCTGAGGCATACACACACACACACACACACACACACACACACACACACACACACACACACACGGAGAGGGAGAGGGAGAGGGAGAGGGAGAGAGAGAGAGAGAGAGAGAGGGGCAGACACACCCACACACTCACATGCATAACCCCCTACACACTCTAAATTCAGTAGGAAGATACTTAGTTACATAAGCTCCCAACATCAGAGGGTGGGAGACAAGCCAAGGCTGACAACACTGAAGAACAGACAACATCACAATGATACCTCAGAATCCCGAGCACCAGTAAAAAAACAAAGGATTGAACAGTGCGAGCAAATGGACCTAGGAGACACAGACAGAACATTCCAGACACCACGGGACACACATTCTTCTCAAGCACACGCAGAGCGTTCTTCAGGACGGGCCATGTGTTGTCACAGAACAAAGTCTTGAAGTGCTACCAAGAGGGGGCTCTCACCGGGGGTCTTCCCCCAACCACAGTGGGACGAAACTAAGAATCTACAGCAGGAAAAAAAAAACCAAACTGGTGAAACCCACAAGCACATGAGATCAAGGTATGCGCTCCTAACCCCCAGTGGGCCAAAGAGGCAGTCAGTAGAATTACATCTTGAAACAAAACCACAACACACCGAGACGGCAGCAGAGGTGCAGAGAAGCAGAAAGACAGACGGCCTGGAGAGATGGCCCGCAGTTAAGAGTTGGCCTGGAGAGATGGCCTGCAGTTAAGAGTTAAGTCCCCAGTCCCGCCTCCCACTGTCTGCCAGCACTTCCTCCGCTCCTGAGCTGGGGGATATAATTTGTATAAACTTGGTACAAATATTCGAAAACTCGGAGACTTTCAGGGTTGCGGCCGGAGAGTATTAAAGTCAGAAGCCCACAAAGCCAGCCCAGTGAAGGGAAGGGAGCTGAGAGCGGATGAGGTACCCTGAGTGTAGATGTCGCCCCCAGTATTCCCTGTGGGAGGGAGGCTTCTGCTACATTCTACCAAAGGGCTGCAGCAGGATCTAGGCAGTAAAAGATCAGGTCTAGGAGCTGGCAGGGAGGACCTGCCTTTCCCGGGTCAAGGACATCGTAGGGAGGGGGGAACAGAAACATCTTCTGGGACTTCCTTTGTGCTGGGTACGGGGGGGGGAAGAGATAGCGACGAGATGTTGCAGCTAATACTTAGTCAGCCAAGGCTCCCCCCCTGGGCTCAGCGGCCTGCCCACGGAAGTGGGGTGCAGCAGAGGAGCCGGAAGAATGGAGGGGCGTGGATAAGAAAGGACACTTATATGAGAGAAGTGGAAAGTTACACTGTGTTCAGGAGGTAATGAGGACTCTTAACTTGTCGGATTGCCAAGCGCCACCAGGGAAAGACAGTGGGAAGGCCATCAGCCAGTGCTTCCCAGAGGGACAGGGACAGGGCAGGATGGAAGCCGTCCTTAGAAGGCAGATTGGCCATGTATAAGGGAAGACAGAGGAGCGCAGCTCACCCTGCATCACCCGGTGAGGGCAGGCGGTGGCAGCCTACCATAGCGGCTGGCTAGCGCCTTCCTACCACCAGCCCTGGGTCTGCACAGATGGGTGGACATGAGGGGCTCTTCAGACGCACGCTTTTTTCCCAGCCAGCCTCAGTAAGGAAGAGAACCGAGTATCTCCCAGACAAACTTCTCCGGCAGGATGCCCCAAGCCACGTGCATCCCACAGACTTCCTAATTTTAGAAAGCAGGCTGGAATTTGTCTGACCAAAATAAACCTGGTCCCAAATATTTACTTTTGTCATTATTTTTGAGTTGGGCAGATAGGAAGATAAACACGAGCTGGGGACATCTTACATGCTGCTGCCCACTGGGCAGGTGGTCATTCCGCAGGGGCCCCTCTTGGACACCCTCCTAGCAAGGCTGGCAATGACAAAGCAAAGTGGAGGAAAAGGCCCTTGGCACCATACTGGGTCGCTCCTGGTCTACCATGTCTGGGCCTCACGGTTCTCTCAACGGGTAAACAATTCTAACCACAGGGCAGGGACCCAAACAGACAAAGGAGCACATGGTGGGCCTAGAGACATTCATTTTTATCACAGAAACAGGACACGCGGTACTCTCCTCTCTGTAGGCCCAAATCATGAAGCAGCCTGACTTTGACTTTTATCAAATTCGTACCTCAGTCGCTTAAAACAACAGCAGCAAGCCCCCAAACCACCAACCAGATCAACAAAAACCAAACCAAATAGCTTAAATGTCAAAAGAACCTGGAGGGTGGGGAGATGGCTCGGTGGTTAGAACGTCTGCTACACAAGCACGAGGGTCTAGGCTCAGACCCCCCAGAACTCACATGAGAGCAGGGTGCCTTGGTAGCGTGTTTGTAACCCCAGCACTGTAGAGCAAAGACAGGGGGCTCCCGGGGGGCTCTGCGGCCAGGCAGTCTAGCCGAAATGGTCCAGCGAGAGACCCTATCTCAAAACATGAGTGGAGGATTACAGCTGACGTCCGTCTCTGGCCTCCTCCCTCGCCTTCGCAGGAAAGTATAATGGCACTTTTACATGCATGTGTACGGTCTCCATGCACCGTCAGTTCTCTTTATTTTCTAGTTCTGAGACATGGAAATATCCTCCCCTTTTAGTTTTAAGGAGAAAGGGGGAAGAGGGAAACTTCTTTTTTTCATGCTGTTTTTACATTTATTTGTTATTTACTGTGCATGCGTGTGCATGGATGTGTGTTGTGTTTGTGTGCGCATGCGCTTGGCGCAGCGTGAGTGCAGAGGTCGACCTTTGAGAGTCATGGAGTAGTTTCTCTCCTAGAGCCACGCAGGTCTGGGGAATGGCTTAGCAGAGACCGTCCGATGGGTGGCTTGTGTTTTCCCTTCCTGGCACTGGAGTTTTCTGATAGCCCGAATGGGTGATCTAATGCTGTTGGATACGGCATGGGCTTACAAATGTGGTGTTTTATTTTAAAAAAAAGAAAATGGATCAACATGGCTTGTATCACCTTGCTAACCGTTTAGCAATTCACGTGCACATGCGCATGTCTTAAAATGTCACCTTTGATGGCTCACAGCTTTTTTGGGGGGGAGGGAGGGGTGCTTATAGTTTTTAATTATCCAGTTCAAATTTCTGAGTATGACTTTTCTGTTTTTCTTCCTGAGACAGGGTTTCTCTTGTAGCCCTGTCTGTACTGGAACTCTATCTGGAGGCCAGGCTGGCCTCGAACTCAGATCCGCCTGCCTCTGCCTAGGTGTGTGCCACAATCTGGCTATCAGTATGATTTTTAAAAAGATAATTTAAAGAACTTATAAAGGAACTTACTCCTTAACATGAATTTTCTAAGACATGGTACTTTCATAAATGTAAAAAAAAATCAAGAAATGACCCTGAAAACCCTCTCTAAAATGAAGTCACATAAGATTCAAAATAGATTCCGTACACTGGGGACTGAACATGGAATGAGATGGCACATGTCTTCCTGCACGGCACACCACTCTGCTGGGATCGGGTATTTTAGGACGCACTGGAACCGGCTGGGACGGTAGCTCTCTGGAAGTCCTCACGCCATTTGCAGGGTTCCCAAAAAGAACTCCAGGCTCTCCGAGCTGACATCGTACATGTCACTCCCAAGGACACGCCCTGTATTTTTGCCTCCACCCCCTCAGGCAGCTGCCGCTCAAACCATGGTTCCTGCATCCCCGAGACTCGCAGCAGTCTGATGACAATCTCCCCTCCCCAACTCGTGCAAAGTGATTCTTCTGAAACCCGGCTGAGGCTGGCTCCCTGCCTGTTCACAGCTCCTGGGGGGGGGGGGGACTTTCCGTGGCTCTGAGCTGTTGTGATGCTGTACAAAAT